ACACTATGGATGGTGCCCCGGCCTGCCTCAGCCACAGGTAAATACACTGTGGATGGTGCCCTGGCCTGCCTCAGCCACAGGTAAATACACTGTGGATGGTGCCCCGGTCCTGCCTCAACCACAGGTAAACACACTTTGGATGGTGCCCCGGCCTGCTTCTGAACATTTTAATGAAATATGGTAAATTGAAATATACTGCAACTATTCTACATATGCATGTATAATGGTTATTAACAAACCTACTTAAAATATGAAACACAAGTATCTTAATAGAGAGAAAGGCTAAAAATACTATGTCATTCATTTTGGATAACACTTTACTATTTATCTTTTTAAAGAGAGTTCACTGCTTTGATCTGCGAGTAAAATCTACAAACACATTTTCAGAACCAACCAGTAAACATAATCAACCATTCTACATATATAATTTTGTTACAACAATGTAATAATGACAGGCTCAGACAATATCTACACTTACCATGTGTTGTGGTCTGCTGTGTAGGAGATCCTGCGTCCAGTCTCTGATCAGCACAAGGCTTTGCCAGCTCTGTCATTACCACTGTAGCTCTGTAAACACCAAATTCAGCAAATCAAGTCCAATCTATTTAAAAATTCTGCCTATAAAAACAATAGAAATGATGACAGAAATTTGTTATACTGTGTAATGGGTAACTTTTTTGGACAGTTTTAATTCACAAATGCTGCAGCAGGTACAAAGACCATCAGTGTCAAAGCAATTTTCACAGAGGAAGACTCAAGACAGACAACACCGTCTTCTTCCACCTCTTCAGCCATTTAATGTAATCATGCTAAAACGTTAACATTTCACTCTGACAGTCATGCATGCAATAAAATGATTTATTAGGTAGACACCTCATGCTTGAATACATTTGACTTAACAAATGACATACACTTACATGTACCTGACCCCAGTCTCTCGAAAATTCAATGCGAAAGCATTGTTCGGTTAAGAAAACATTCTTAAACATGAGATTTTCCCCTAACTCCAGCAATGCTTTTCAATGGAAAAACTTAGATTAAGGAATTTCATAGAATTAAGAATTGTTCATGAAACTGGGCCTGGCCATCATAATTTAACAATGTCCAATTTTAGCAAAGTACACCAGCACAATTCAACACATTACAGTACATCTAATCCTTAAATAAGTTCCTTTTAAAAATGTGAATTCTTCTTAGCAAACACTGTAGTCTGGTGTTTTTTTTATTGATTTTAATCAAAGTGTGTCATCTGTATAAAATTATTTAGATTGATGGTAATTACATGAAGAGTTATTAAATAACAAATGTTGTTAAATACAATTGCAAGCTCATAACATTATTTATAACATCATGTACTGTGTTTATAGCATCATGTACAGTGTTATCCAGTGAATATACCCATGACATATTTTTGTGTGTATTAACCCATGTAATATCAGCCCTGTGATTGGTTGTAAGTTTCATTGATTTTTAATTGTGACGTCACGCCTAGGACAAGTACATGATGTCACAGACTTACGCACTGGTGTCAAAATGGCAGCTTTTTACATTTCAAGGTTGCATGAAAATTGTCGTTTTACACGAATAAATGCCACAAATCTTGATTATGTGATAAAAGGGATCTTACAAAGTTTGTTTTCATTTCATATGAAATTTATCAAACTTGTCCCGAATTTTTCATTTTAGCTCGCCGGAGGCTTGCTAAATTGAAAAATTCTTAGACTCGTTTCTCAAATCTCTTATGAAATGGAAACTAATGCAAGATCCAATATATAATTAGGATTCTGGTAAAAGATAGTGTGCATTGAAAATCTCAAAAAATTCAATCTGCCCACCAAGGAGAGAAATCTCCCTACCAAAACTTCAAACACCCTTCCAAGGGGAGAAAAATCTCCTTACTCTAACTTCAATCTCCATATTAAGGGATTCTGGGGAGAAAAATCTCCTTACCCTAACTTCAATCTCCATATTAAGGGATTCTGGGGAGAGAAATCTCCTTACCAAAACTTCAATCTCCATATTAAGGGATTCTGGGGAGAAAAATCTCCTTACCCTAACTTCAATCTCCATATTAAGGGATTCTGGGGAGAGAAATCTCCCTGCCAAGACTTGATACTTGAATGTCACTTTATAACATTACATCTACACACATAGCGACTAATTACTGTGTAAATACCACTTCTCTGTACATGTATACCTCTCTGTTGGAAGAGATTTCCTGTCAAATCCCTCCAACCACTTTCCGAGACAGACTGGCAGTATACCAGGATCTTCAAGCTGTTGACATAGATAACATAAGTATTACATTTAAATTTCATGCCTGTATAATCATGATGGACGTATAATTCTCCCACACCACATTTTGAAAGGTTGTGATAATATAACTTTTCTCTCACCCTGGACAGGTATATCTACAAAGCCTCATGATTGGCAACTACAAATATACAGCATCTTCCCCCTCAAGTTGAGATTCCCCTATCTCACCCCAAAGGGGGTCAGAGATTTTATTATTTTCTTACCCCGGACAGGTATATCTACTAAGCCTCATGTTTGACAACTACAAATGTACACCATCTTCCCCCTCAAGTTGAGATTTCCCTATCTCACCCCCAAGGGGGTCAAAGATTTTATTATTTTCTTACCCTGGACAGGTATATCCACAAAGCCTCATGTTTGGCAACATCAGAATCTTTCCCCTTGGGTTAAGAATCCCCTATCTCACCCCATTTACTTATCTACATTTGAAGGGAAAGAGTAAGACAGCTCACATGTGCTATCACTCTGAAAACATTACCGTTGCATCATTACTTTATGCAGTATAACCAGGGCTGGTGATCAATTTTGTCACAAATTTCATTTGAGAAGTGTGGGAGGAAATGTTGCTAAACCCTCCAGATAACTTTATGTTCAAAAATCTTACACTTAGGTTGACATTTCTCTGTTTACTTCATACAGAAGTGATAGCTTCCATCAACTGATCATTTTTCAGTTTAGACTAAACATAAACAGTTGATAAATTAATAATTTGTAAAGAAAGTTTTTCTGATAAAAGACCTAAAGGTCCTCGTGATCACACTCAAGTAGATTGCTCTTAATTCCAAATGGAGCCTTGATCAAGTCAACATAAAGGACTTTCTGATTTGCAGTGTCTGTCTAGTCTTAAAAGGCTTACAACTGAGTTTTTATATTAACTCATTCACACCCCCTGAAGACACATTTGAACTTTTCCAATTCAATGGTTGGAATAGTTCATTTTGGAATTTCAGGGGTGAATGAGCTAAATAAAATCACAAAATAATGAACTAAAGCAATTTGTTTGAACTTACCCATACAACTTGTGTCGGTTCCAAATGTTCAAGGCACTTTTGTAGTGTGTTGTACCATGTGATCATATATATACAGGTAGACTTGCTCAAAGCCCTGGAAATGTAAGTTTGTAAATGAAGTTAGCATTTAAATAACAAGCCAACTATTACTGGAGTGAAATTCGGATAGCTTTTATCTTGTAAAAATCCCAACTGGTTCATTAGATTGTTATATAATTAATAGTCATGGCACTTTTTACAAAGCAGATTCCAGTTAGAACTTCCATCGAATATAAACACATTCCTATTGTATATAAATAAACTGTACAACAAAGTTTTTTTTACTTAAATTGTTGAAAAATACTGATTTCTTTGACATAAAAAAGGTGGCCAATAAATCTGTCCTAAAAGTCAAAATAGTCAATACAGCAGAAGATTAACAATTGTTAGGAGCTTTAAAGTACAAAAATAAAATGAATGTTACCTACCAGATCCTGCTAGCGACAGACAAGAAGACCATGGACTGTGGGATGAAGATACCCGTCTCCAGATCCTGCTGGACTGTGCTAGTTATCAGGTTAGGGAGTACAGTAATGCAGTCACACATTTTTAAAGGTAATTGAATTCCAAAGTCAAACTGAAAATGTCCAATGATCATTTAAACTCTGAATTAAGCGACATTTATCATGACCTTTTTATATGTTTGAACAGTCAAGAAAAAGGGTTAAGAATAATTTGTTTTGCATCATACTCAAGAAAAAGCACTACATACAGTACAGTGTATATGTTAACTGCTGAAGAAATAATAATGTAATTGTGAAAAGAAATATATTAAAATCTTTAATTCTTCAAATTGTCTTAATAAATTTTAACACAAACTTGATAAATTTGTACTGAAAGAGACTGTATACATAGCAGGGGAATACCATTCCATTAGCCTGATGCCAGCTAGTAGATTCTATGTTGGGGCAAGTGAAAGTTTCCCATATCTGTTTTGAAAATATAGGTCGGGCTAGTACAACATTTCAAAATCAACTTGTGGGCTAGTGTATTCTAAAAGTGAAAGCATACACCCCTGCAGTGCAAGTCCGTAACATTACCGTTTTATATCAAAGAATGTGACAAGGATACAGGAAGGTGTAAACACAGTATGCAGAAGTCTGGGTGAGCAGGGCCGCCACCCCCATCAGTCTGACAAGGACAAACTCTAACATCTGTCTGGAGGGCAGGTAGGCATTGTCATCATTCAGGTCAGCCCTGTAACAGAGTATATAAATATATACATAAATTTACATCTTCTTCCCTTTTCAGGGTCGGTCAATCAATCAAATTGTTTCAAAAAAAATCAATTATTACAAAATTTTGCCAATACTTCTCCTTTTAAAAGTAATAATTTGAAACGCAGATTTAAAATCCAACGACCTCCAAAAAACGTTCCATGCTGAAGGGAAAAAAAAGAAATAATGCTAAAGAACATTCTGTCTACTTACGCCTCCAGTGAACTGGTAATATCTTCTAGATATTTGATTTCTTCTAAGGCACAAAATCTCTCCACACAGGATTTAATCTACAAAGTAAAACAGTGAATAACATCGTCCAACAAATAAAAATAAAGGTTTAATCGTGTCACAAGGGAGACTATTTTTTTTAAAGGGATTGGTATTTATTCATGTAAATTGAGCAAACAAATTTAGTTGATATCACATGTATACAATAAATTTGAGTAATGTACAGTCAGTGGGTTTTTTGGTCAGTTTTACTGTCGAATACAGGCTGTTTCCCCTAGCTAAAAAGTGCCTTATTTTCCCAAAATGACCAAAAGGTTAGGAATATATTTCCAGTTTCAATGCAAATAATGCCATATTTTCCCCGATTCATAAAGGAACAGGCTGTTGTAAAATTCAGGTAGCAAAAACACTGACAGTGAATCTCAAACTGTAAATTAATGATATCGCATTGTCAAAGTGGGTTATGTACAGCGTATCAAATTCATCTGTTGTTAATTCCGAGTAGCATTCAGCTTCAGGATGTTAAAATAACCCACCATTTAAGTCCCTGTAGCGTTTTATAATAACCTACCATTTTAATTAGTCCCTATAGCGTTTTATAATAACCCACCTTTTAAGTCCCTGTAGTGTTTTATAATAACCTACCCTTTAAGTCCCTGTAGCGTTTTATAATAACCCACCATTTAAGTCACTGTAGTGTTTTATAATAACCCACCATTTAAGTCCCTGTAGTGTTTTATAATAACCCACCATTTAAGTCCATGTAGTGTTTTATAATAACCCACCTTTTAAGTCCCTGCAGTGTTTTATAATAACCCACCATTTAAGTCCCTGTAGTGTTTTATAATAACCTACCCTTTTAAGTCCCTGTAGTGTTTTATAATAACCCAACCTGTTAAGTCTCTGTAGTGTTTTATAATAACCTACCCTTTAAGTCCCTGTAGTGTTTTATAATAACCCACCCTTTAAGTCCCTGTAGTGTTTTATAATAACCTACCCTTTAAGTCCCTGTAGTGTTTTATAATAACCCAACCTGTTAAGTCTCTGTAGTGTTTTATAATAACCTACCCTTTTAATTAGTCCCTGTAATGTTTTAAAATAACGTTAACCTGCCCTTTTAAGTCCCTGTAGTGTTTTATAATAACCCATCATTTAAGTCCCTGTAGTGTTTTATAATAAACCACCATTTAAGTCCCTTTAGTGTTTTATAATGACCCACCATTTAAGTCCCTGTAGCGTTTTATAATTACCCACCTTTTAAGTCCCTGTAGCGTTTTATAATAACCCACCTTTTTAGTCCCTGTATTGTTTTATAATAACCCACCTTTTAGGTCCCTGTAGTGTTTTATAATAACCCACCTTTTAAGTCCATGTAGTGTTTTATAATAACCCACCTTTTAAGTCCATGTAGTGTTTTATAATAACCCACCATTTAAATCCCTGTAGTGTTATATAATAACCCACCATTTAAGTCCCTGTAGGATTTTATAATAACCCACCATTTAAATCACTGTAGTGTTTTATAATAACCCACCATTTTAAGTCCCTGTAGTGTTTTATAATAACCTACCCTTTAAGTCCCTGTAGTGTTTTATAATAACCCATCATTTAAGTCCCTGTAGTGTTTTATAATAACCCATCATTTAAGTCCCTGTAGTGTTTTATAATAACCTACCCTTTAAGTCCCTGTAGTGTTTTATAATAACCTACCCTTTAAGTCCCTGTAGTGTTTTATAATAACCCACCCTTTAAGTCCCTGTAGTGTTTTATAATAACCTACCCTTTTAATTAGTCCCTGTAATGTTTTAAAATAACGTTAACCTGCCCTTTTAAGTCCCTGTAGTGTTTTATAATAACCTACCCTTTTAATTAGTCCCTGTAATGTTTTAAAATAACGTTAACCTGCCCTTTTAAGTCCCTGTAGTGTTTTATAATAACCCACCCTTTAAGTCCCTGTAGTGTTTTATAATAACCCATCATTTAAGTCCCTGTAGTGTTTTATAATAAACCACCATTTAAGTCCCTTTAGTGTTTTATAATAACCCACCATTTAAGTACCTGTAGTGTTTTATAATAACCCACCATTTACGTCCATGTAGTGTTTTATAATAACCCACCTTTTAAGTCCATGTAGTGTTTTATAATAACCCAGCTTTTAAGTCCCTGCAGTGTTTTATAATAACCCACCATTCAAGTCCCTGTAGTGTTTTATAATAACCCAACCTGTTAAGTCTCTGTAGTGTTTTATAATAACCTACCCTTTTAAGTCCCTGTAGTGTTTCATAATAACCTACCATTTAAGTCCCTGTAGTGTTTTATAATAAACCACCATTTAAGTCCCTTTAGTGTTTTATAATAACCCACCATTTAAGTCCATGTAGTGTTTTATAATAACCTACCCTTTTAAGTCCCTGTAGTGTTTCATAATAACCTACCATTTAAGTCCCTGTAGTGTTTTATAATAACCTACCCTTTAAGTCCCTGTAGTGTTTTATAATAACCTACCCTTTTAAGTCCCTGTAGTGTTTTATAGTAACCCACCATTTAAGTCCCTGTAGTGTTTTATAATAACCCACCATTTAAGTCCCTGTAGCGTTTTATAATGACCCACCTTTTAAGTCCCTGAAGTGTTTTATAATAACCCACCTTTTAAGTCCCTGTAGTGTTTTATAATAACCCACCTTTTAAGTCCATGTAGTGTTTTATAATAACCTACCCTTTTAAGTCCCTGTAGTGTTTTATAATAACCTACCCTTTTAAGTCCCTGTAGTGTTTCATAATAACCTACCATTTAAGTCCCTGTAGTGTTTTATAATAACCCAACCTGTTAAGTCTCTGTAGTGTTTTATAATAACCTACCCTTTTAATTAGTCCCTGTAATGTTTTATAATAACGTTAACCTACCCTTTTAAGTCCCTGTAGTGTTTTATAATAACCTACCCTTTTAAGTCCCTGTAGTGTTTTATAATAACCCACCATTTAAGTCCCTGTAGTGTTTTATAATAACCTACCCTTTTAAGTCCCTGTAGTGTTTTCTCCCTTCTGCGCTGTGAGTGATTCTTGTAGACCATCTTTGACAGAATGTGCTCCTCAGAATTCCAAACCGATACATCAGACAGGAGATGAGTGAGATTTGCCATTGTTGTTTTCATATTTTTGAAGTGTCCTTAAAAGAAATTGACTTCAGTGAGATAAGTTTGTTCAACTTTTTATGAAGAAAAATATTATTAAAATGAAAGTGTAAATATAATAAATTTTGGTTACATTTACAAATACCGGTACATTTTTAAATTTTAGAAAACTATCAGGTACATACACATATACATGAACAACAATATCAGTTTAAATATATATCCTCAATTAACACGAACCTCACAATTAAGGCAGCTAGTAATTTGTTTTCTATATACACTGTATACCTTTTCTTATGTCAATATTACATTTAAATGTAAATGTTCACAAAAGGAAAAAAATTACATTGTACCTTTGGGCCACCCAGTATTTCATCCTTTTGATTTATGTTGTTTTCCCTTTCCATGCAAAAATATGAACTAATTTAGAATAGATGAACTACAGGTAACCTATAGCTAATTACCAAAAATATACTTATGCCATTATAATGCACTTTGGAGCAAACTTATAAACTTGGTATCTAGTGCACAGTGAGCAGTGTCAACTCCAGTGCACTATGATGTCAGTGTTAACTCCAGTGCACTATGACGTTAGTGTTAACTCCAGTGCACTATGACGTTAGTGTTAACTTCAATGCACTCAATGTGTTTCCCCTAGTTTTAACAATTGAAATACAGATTACATATATATATTTATTCAGTAATTTTTTGCTCAGTTTTTCTGTCGAATACAGACTGTTTCCCCTAGTCTTCTAAAACTGACCATAATCGCAGGCTCAAAAATTCTGATCGATCGCCTGTTTATGGTCAGCTATCGACTGCTCTATAAAATGGCTGTCAATGTGAGCAGTCGAACGCACTTCAATTGAATAAAATGATGTAGCGTCCATATTGTATCGAGTACCGACATGACATCTAGTCAAGTTAGTGAGAAATGAATCAACTTAAATAAAGGTATGATTATTTTCTCTGACAAACATGTATAACTCTCACAATCTCTGTCGCCAGATTTCGACAACAATCCCCGTGTTTTATAGAGCAGTCGATAGCTGACTATAAACAGGCGACCGATCAGAATTTTTGAGCCTGCGATTATGGTCAGTTTAAGCGGACTATGTTTCCCCTAGCTAAAAAGTGCCTCATTTTCCAAAAATGATCACAAACTGCGGAACGTATTATTATTATTATTATTAAGAAACAGGCATGAGCATTTCATTTCTAGTTCTAGTTCTACCATATAGTGACCACCTTCAACAAATTGAAGATTTTGTCACGAAGTTGGGTTTATGCAGCGCAAATGACAGACTATAATATATATCACATAATAATTAATAATTAATCACTTAGTTAAAGTTAAGAGAACGAAAATTTAATTCGAGGAGAGTCCGAGAGAGAGGTCTGAGCAAGCCAGTGATTGGGAAGCCCCCACCGACAAAGCTTGTTCGGAAAAGGGGGAAAAGAAGAGAAGTAGTAAATTATTATGTTTAGTCTGTTAAATGTAACTAATTATTCTGCATCTTCAATTTTATAGGTGTGCCTGGAAAGAGATGTTTTGAAAGTGTTGAAAGTGGGTGCATTAATGATGTCAGATGGTAATTTGTTGCAGTCTAGTATGGTACGAGGAATAAATAATTGTTGTCTAGTTAGTGTTTTCGAGTATTGCTGTTGGTATTGGACCTGGTGGGAATTTCTAGGAATTCTTCTGGCTCAGTGCATCCTGTCAGGCGTGGATATGGCCACCGTGCCCCGATGAATTTTATGGAACATCTTTAGGCGTGCATCTTTCCTACGATCTGACAAGCTGCACCAGCCAAGAGTACCAATCATATCTGTTACACTAGAGGTATTCCGAAAGCGATTTGACACATATCGGACTCCTCTCCTCTGGACCATTTCTAATTTGTTGATATTAATTTTTGTGTACTGATCCCAAACAGAGCAAGCATATTCTAAAGAGGGTCTTACCAAAGATTTGTAAGCCTGTTCTTTAAATGTTTTTGAGCTAATTTTTAGGTTTCTTCTGAGAAATCCTAGAATAGAATTTGCCTTGTTGCAAATCTGATCTACATGAGAGTCCCATTTCAAATCTGATCTGAGGGTTACACCTAGGTATTTCACAGAATTAACATGTTTTAATATTTGGCCATGAAGAGAATAATTAAAAATGACAAGCGAATTTTTCTTAGAAATTGTGAGAGCTTTATACACTTATCTGGGTGGAAAGCCATTAACCATTTTTTCTCCCAAAGGGCAAGTTTGTCCAGGTCAGACTGTAGGATCCTTGCATCTTTCTGACGTAATTGTCAGATATACGATGGTATCATCCGCAAACAGTACAGATCCCTGGGGGACACCGGATAAAACTAGTACATACTCAGATTTGACGCCTTCAACAAGTACTGATTGGGTTTTATTATTTAAGAAGTTTGAGATTCAGGAAGTAGTTTTATCATCTATACCATAATGACTGAGTTTGTTGGTAAGAAGAGAGTGGATGACCTTATCAAATGCTTTGGAGAAATCCATAACCAATATATCCTATTGTTTTGAGTTGTCAATAGTTTTGGTAATATCGTCAACAAATTCTAAAAGTTGTGTTTCACAGGATCTGAATTTTCGAAAACCATGTTGGCGAGGATACAAAATATTGTGACGATCTGAATGTGTCATGATGTGTGACACTATGACATGTTCCATTAACTTACAACAAATGCAAGTGAGTGATATAGGTCTGTAATTTGCAGGATCATATTTTTGGCTTTTTTTAAATATTGGAGCAATATGGGCGGTTTTCCAATCTTGCGGAACAGTGCCAGATTGTAGGCTTCAAAGCTCTTGGACTCAAGTCGTCTGGGCCTGGTGCTTCGGAACTATCAAGATTCTTTAGTAGTTTTTGAATACCATTTGGGGTAATGAGGGGGGGGGGGGGGGGGGTGTTCATGCCGGTTGGATATATCTGATCTGGATTCATATAATTTTCTTTAGAAAAGACGTCAGGAGATATGTTTTTGGATGTAGAGAAAACTGATTCAAATTGCTTATCGAGTAGGTTTGCTTTTGAATAGGAATCTGAAATGAGCTTGCCATCCTCTTTTAGATGTGAAGTCTGTTTTCTTGTGTTTTATGTAGGTCTAAAAAAAATCATGCATGTGAAAGTTCCATTGACCGAAGTCTCATCTGGAGTAACTATGTTTTCTATATATTTCCAATACTCCTGCCGAATCTTTTTTTGGATGGAATGTTTCAGTTCTTTATATTTCTTTGTTAGATCTTTATCACCAGACTTTCTTGATATTTTAAATAATCTGTTGCGTTCACTTATCAAATGTTTTATTTCATGAAATATCCAGGGTTGGCTTTCTTTTGGTTTTGATATTTTGTGTGGTATATGCATATTCACCAAAGAGTTCAAAAATGACTTGAAGTCTTTTTCAAACTTAAAAAATAATTGGTATTGGTACATTGCCATGAACTAATTGATACAATTAACTTATTTATTGCATACTGGGGAAAATGGATGTTCACACCAGACATCTATCTGTCAAAACGTCTAACTTAGACTGGTGTAAACAAACAGTAAAAGCCAGAGGAAACTCGGGCTACTCTTGGCAGTGTCTGTTCTGACTGCCATTTCTTTATATATCCCAGGATGTGTTCTGCCATAACATACCCTTATTTTTTCCTGTAATGTTGGTCTTCATGTTACAGACAATGGGTGGAACGACGACTTTCTGGTTCCACATGTTGCTCGCTTACTACACACGTGCAACGTCTAAATATCAAGCTTCTTAAAGAGCCCGTTGAAGTTAGTCCTGCAAACGTTTGGCTTCATTCGACATTTTTATTAAATCCTACTAATTATATTATTTAAAGATGTACCACCCTAAAATTGCTGTCAATTTTAAATATTTTCGATTAAGATACAATGTTTCCTAACTGTTCACACATACACTTAAAATAACTGATGAAATAATGAACGTGTCCGGAATTGATATACCGACTAAGAGTTTCATTTTTTCTTTTATTATTTTTCCGTCGTGTAACTTCCGGTTTGATGTGTCAAACAATTTCCAACAATTTCGGCGCTAGGTTAAATACATAGACGCAAATATGGGTCTTTGTAAATGTCCAAAGAAGAAAGTCACTAACATATTCTGCTTTGAGCACAGAGTAAACGTCTGTGAACATTGTTTAGTATCAAACCATGCAAAGGTGAGTCTAGGTTTTACAACTTCATGTGTACATATGATGCATATATTCATTCAAAATCATTGAACATGCTCTGACACCGGCAGCAGTCACGGAGTCGGCCAGTACAATATATGGTAACACGTTTTCATTAATCGTCTTAATTTAAAAAAAATGGAAAATGATTGTATTGTTGTAAACGCTATATATTGAAACATCACCTGTCATCATCATTGTCAATTTGTCATCAACATCAACATTTTCATCATTACTCATGTGTTGGGCTAGCTATATTATATAGATAGACAGTAAGGACACCCTTATAGTGTGAGACTAGTGAAATTTCCAGCTGGATTAGAGGTTCTACAAACCGTTAGCTCAATTGACTAGTCAAAATTTGATATTGCTTATCTTGTTGAATATTTTTGGGTTAGTGGAATATACATAATGCATATAGTTGAAAACCAATACCCCAATTGACTTGTGGGAAAATTAATTTCTATACCTGTAGGAGCTATAGATTAAGGTTCAACAAGGCCCCTTAAAGATGTACAGAAATGCATGATATGGCATTTCATAACATTCTGTGGTGTTACAATTTTATAAGAGTTAGACAGGTTACAAACATTATAAATACAAAATGCTTTCATCAGCATGTCTAGCTTTTTTAGAACAATGCTAAATATTACAAAAAGACATTTTATGTGAAGTTCCATTATCCATCAAGGTCACACAGCCCTTCATTCGTTTGTATATTCTTTTACCAGTAAAATACTGTATACTGGAAAATTTTGCTGCAATTTAATTTTTGCCTTTTTCAGCCTCCGTAATGATGGTGAATTTATCATTACAGCAAATATAAGTAAACAGTATAATAAGAATAGTTATTAAATGTGACGGGTGAAATTAACACTCTTGACTCAGCAAGTATTGATTCATAGGTGAATGGCGAAAATCTTACTGGGTGAAAATGTCCTTGCATACAGTATGTTATCAGAGCATTATTCTGTGATACTTGTGGCTTCTCAAAGCCAAAACCATCTTGGTTTAAAGCCAGTATACCTCTCGACAGCTAGTAATAAAGCTAGAAGCTTAATTCCTCACAACCTAGGTTTATAAACAATCTTAGATGTTGTGTCCTTATTTAAAATTCAATTGGGTTACAAAAATAGACTGACATGTTGTGATGCCAGTGAACTCTATTTTTGAGGCCATCAGCCTTAATGCTTGCAGGCTAACATCCTTATGCACTATATTAATGATGACTGTATATATTGTATATCCAAATTTTATATTTGAATTTCAATGTTTAATTGGAGGTCTTTAAATATGACTTATTAGACTTAATATACTGTCAGAGGACTACTGCTGGAATAAGTGATGACATCTGGTGAAATCCCTGTTGTATTCAATGTAATAAACTCAGAGGACTACTGCTGGAATAAGTGATGACATCTGGTGAAATCCCTGTTGTATTCAATGTAATGCCCATCCTTTATCAGTTCGGTCTGATATCCAATAATACTACAATGTATAGCTTTGTGCAAATAAAAACACTGGATAGTTTTCCTTGATCAGCAATTAGACTACAGTATTAATTTTCTCTGTATACATATTTCCATGTAATACTAACTAGCTAAGCATACAATTTCCACAACATTAGTGCAAATATAAAGATTAAGCTTTACAAGTATTTGAATGTTGATGTACAAGCATAAGAAGAATGTTAGGAAAATATTTTAAAGCAATCATTTCAATTATGATGAATGGTTCATTATTGTTTTCCTTCCTTTATTAGTGTATTGTAAAGTCATACCTACAGTGGTTACAAGACAGTGATTACAGTCCAGCATGTACGCTCTGTACCAAGGTGTTAACGGCTGACAACGAGCAATGTGTACGACTCACCTGTTATGGTAAGCTGCTGGAATATTGTACAGTTATTGTTGTTTTTAATACTTATCTATTCCTCTAATAAGAGAAAGGCTCTTGTTTGTTGATATGTTAACTACTTTCCATTAGATTTAAAGATGATACAAGATATACTTTATGTTTAGAAAAAAAAATCCTGACAAAATGAATGCTTAAAATTAGAGAGCATGGCAACTTAAAAAAATCATTTTGAAATTAAGTTGTGAATTGAATTATCCTAGATAGAAATACTAAAAACATGTTGAGCAAATGCAAATTTTGTAATGATCTGCTTTTGAAAAAAAATAGACACCTTTCAGATGTTTTAAAAGCCCCTGTGATATTGAGCGATATCCTTAATAATTAGTTGCTACAAAGCATTTTCATCATCTAGAACTTAAACAGTAAACAGTAATTCCCACAGTTAGATGTAGTACATACAATGTACATATAGTTCTATACATGAGTATCCTGTTTCAGATGTGTTTCACTGGCATTGTCTGAACCGCTATGCCAATCAGATGCCTCCTAACACTGCTCCTGCTGGTTATGCATGTCCCACGTGTAATGCTGGGATATTCCCAGCTCAAAATGTAGCATCACCTGTAGCTGTGGAGTTAAGACAGATGTTATCTCAAGTGAACTGGGCCAGAGCCGGACTGGGGCTTCCACTGGTTTGTATATTTTTTACCTTCATTCACATTTTCTGATGTAAAGAAATTATTTTTTCTTAGTTTGGAAAGGCATATGTACCAGGTAACCACAAGACACCAGTGTCTCAGTTGTACAATAAATGTAACAAATGACAGGTGATATGTACATCAAAAGCTGCTTATATCTGTTAAGTTATATTAGTTATAGATATTATGTATAAAACGTTTTAGTTTTAGTTTCACTAAGTCATGTCAAAATCAATATGTTACAATGGACGAGCTTCTAAAACATGTGTGTCATCATGCTAAATAGATTAGAAAAGAGTCTCATCTTATGATGCTCATATTAAACTCCTAGCAATCCTGAAGCTACTAATGCTACTACCTGTATCTTATAATTTTTCCTTTTCCATAATCCAAACAAAAAGTATGTTTACAGTCTTTGATTAGTGAAATAATTTAGGTACAATTGGCACAGCTTTATTGTTTATAATAGTGGAATATTTGTCTTTGATTTTAAACATTTCCTTCATCAGATTGATGAGCCAGAACCACCACCGTCACCAGCACCCCCGATGGAGGTTCCCATAGAAATACAACAACAAACACTACAGCAAACAATACCTATGGCCCAGAGTACACCATTGAAGAATGAATTTGTACCAGCATCCTCACCAGCTCCTATAAGGACAACACCTGGTCCCTCCAACCACACAAGACCAAGTGCCCATGTGACCCTGACACCCCAGATGCAGCACAGTGTGATTAGTGTGGACACAGGCACCACAGTGCGAGGACAGGAGAAAGCTTATGGTGTAGCAGGTTCGCAAGAGTTGTTTCCCTTGACATTCATAACCAACATGAACATGCATGATCATTGAAGTATTTATTTGAACGTTTCTTAGCTTAGTCTTACCCGGGTATTTATTATTTTTATGTTTAAAATGAAAGGAAAAATGGAAATAATCTTAAATTCTGTACATAATATATTTTGTATATGCAGTCTGTTAAATAGGTATAAAATTGTCACTTTCATCCAGATTAAAAGAAGTTGACAATTATTGAATATGGATAGTTATCATTCCTTTAATCGTTACAGATCCAAGAAAACTGTTTGATTCAACAAAAGAAGACACAAGTAATATGTTGAATATGTCACATGACCATGATGAGGACAAATATAAAAGAAGACCTGCCCTTGAATGGCTTGGAAAATGGCTCAAGTATGTACCAGTATTTTACTTAAAGATTCCCATACCACTAGTACTGCCAAAAACTGTATCTCTGCACTGGAAACTTATTTTAATTATAGCTTTGAAAAATCATTTCTGGAAGGAAAACCATTCCCTGTGGTACTTTAATGAAAAATAATAGAATTCAGTGGGGCCTGATAGGGGTTAGAACACTGGATTGTAAGTATTCACGGGACCAGATAGGGGTTAGAACACTGGATTGTAAGTACTCAGCAGGGCCAGATAGGGGTTAGAACACTGGATTGTAAGTACTCAGCGGGACCAGATAGGGGTTAGAACACTGGATTGTAAGTACTCAGCGGGGCCAGATAGGGGTTAGAACACTGGATTGTAAGTACTCAGCGGGACCAGATAGGGGTTAGAACACTGGATTGTAAGTACTCAGCGGGACCAGATAGGGGTTAGAACACTGGATTGTAAGTACTCAGCGGGACCAGATAGGGGTTAGAACACTGGATTGTAAGTACTCAGCGGGACCAGATAGGGGTTAGAACACTGGATTGTAAGTACTCAGCGGGACCAGATAGGGGTTAGAACACTGGATTGTAAGTACTCAGCGGGACCAGATAGGGGTTAGAACACTGGATTGTAAGTACTCAGCGGGACCAGATAGGGGTTAGAACACTGGATTGTAAGTACTCAGCGGGACCAGATAGGGGTTAGAACACTGGATTGTAAGTACTCAGCGGGACCAGATAGGGGTTAGAACACTGGATTGTAAGTACTCAGCGGGACCAGATAGGGGTTAGAACACTGGATTGTAAGTACTCAGCGGGACCAGATAGGGGTTAGAACACTGGATTGTAAGTACTCAGCGGGACCAGATAGGGGTTAGAACACTGGATTGTAAGTACTCAGCGGGACCAGATAGGGGTTAGAACACTGGATTGTAAGTACTCAGCGGGACCAGATAGGGGTTAGAACACTGGATTGTAAGTACTCAGCGGGACCAGATAGGGGTTAGAACACTGGATTGTAAGTACTCAGCGGGACCAGATAGGGGTTAGAACACTGGATTGTAAGTACTCAGCGGGACCAGATAGGGGTTAGAACACTGGATTGTAAGTACTCAGCGGGACCAGATAGGGGTTAGAACACTGGATTGTAAGTACTCAGCGGGACCAGATAGGGGTTAGAACACTGGATTGTAAGTACTCAGCGGGACCAGATAGGGGTTAGAACACTGGATTGTAAGTACTCAGCGGGACCAGATAGGGGTTAGAACACTGGATTGTAAGTACTCAGCGGGACCAGATAGGGGTTAGAACACTGGATTGTAAGTACTCAGCGGGACCAGATAGGGGTTAGAACACTGGATTGTAAGTACTCAGCGGGACCAGATAGGGGTTAGAACACTGGATTGTAAGTACTCAGCGGGACCAGATAGGGGTTAGAACACTGGATTGTAAGTACTCAGCGGGACCAGATAGGGGTTAGAACACTGGATTGTAAGTACTCAGCGGGACCAGATAGGGGTTAGAACACTGGATTGTAAGTACTCAGCGGGACCAGATAGGGGTTAGAACACTGGATTGTAAGTACTCAGCGGGACCAGATAGGGGTTAGAACACTGGATTGTAAGTACTCAGCGGGACCAGATAGGGGTTAGAACACTGGATTGTAAGTACTCAGCGGGACCAGATAGGGGTTAGAACACTGGATTGTAAGTACTCAGCGGGGCCAGATAGGGGTTAGAACACTGGATTGTAAGTACTCAGCGGGACCAGATAGGGGTTAGAACACTGGATTGTAAGTACTCAGCGGGACCAGATAGGGGTTAGAACACTGGATTGTAAGTACTCAGCGGGACCAGATAGGGGTTAGAACACTGGATTGTAAGTACTCAGCGGGACCAGATAGGGGTTAGAACACTGGATTGTAAGTACTCAGCGGGACCAGATAGGGGTTAGAACACTGGATTGTAAGTACTCAGCGGGACCAGATAGGGGTTAGAACACTGGATTGTAAGTACTCAGCGGGACCAGATAGGGGTTAGAACACTGGATTGTAAGTACTCAGCGGGACCAGATAGGGGTTAGAACACTGGATTGTAAGTACTCAGCGGGACCAGATAGGGGTTAGAACACTGGATTGTAAGTACTCAGCGGGACCAGATAGGGGTTAGAACACTGGATTGTAAGTACTCAGCGGGACCAGATAGGGGTTAGAACACTGGATTGTAAGTACTCAGCGGGACCAGATAGGGGTTAGAACACTGGATTGTAAGTACTCAGCGGGACCAGATAGGGGTTAGAACACTGGATTGTAAGTACTCAGCGGGACCAGATAGGGGTTAGAACACTGGATTGTAAGTACTCAGCGGGACCAGATAGGGGTTAGAACACTGGATTGTAAGTACTCAGCGGGACCAGATAGGGGTTAGAACACTGGATTGTAAGTACTCAGCGGGACCAGATAGGGGTTAGAACACTGGATTGTAAGTACTCAGCGGGACCAGATAGGGGTTAGAACACTGGATTGTAAGTACTCAGCGGGACCAGATAGGGGTTAGAACACTGGATTGTAAGTACTCAGCGGGACCAGATAGGGGTTAGAACACTGGATTGTAAGTACTCAGCGGGACCAGATAGGGGTTAGAACACTGGATTGTAAGTACTCAGCGGGACCAGATAGGGGTTAGAACACTGGATTGTAAGTATTCAGCGGGACCAGATAGGGGTTAGAACACTGGATTGTAAGTACTCAGTGGGACCAGATAGGGGTTAGAACACTGGATTGTAAGTATTCAGCGGGACCAGATAGGGGTTAGAACACTGGATTGTTATACTACCCTTCTTACCGACTCAGCTACCTGGTTAATGGAAGTGGCTCCTGGCCAAATGTTGCTACAGTTATATCCAAACGAAAGTTAAGGGGAGGTTACTGTCTTTACATGTATGAAAAAAACTGTGCAATGATGCAGGGAATCTTAATACACCATAAATGTTTCTCACTGACGGTAAACTGCCAATATTCATAACAGTTGTGATTAGAAACATTCTGATGGGTTCTTTGACTCCTTTATGTTTTTAACGTCACGCTACCACAATTGGTACAATTTTGACAGTTTTTTAGTGATCTTTAAAAATTCAGATCTTGTATCTAGAATGTTTCTTGATTCTTGACAAAGACTTCCTCTGGTGGTTCATTTTCAGGAAAAGTTTTATATCTAAGTAATTTGTTTTCGAGATTTCCCCTTTTTTTGGTCGTAAATAATACCCAAATTGGTACACCATATCACAGGCTATGGAATTTGTTTATATTTTTGATATTTGATGTGCCGATTACAACAAAATATATTGCTTTTATAGATACCATACTGAACTATAATTGTATACAGTCACTTTTATATTATCCAAATATAAGGACCAGAAATCAACATTTAAACATGCTTATATTTAACCCCTTGAAAATCCTCCAAAATTTTGTCGACTTACATCGTTTTTACTGGTTTTCTGATATGTTTACTTTGAAATCATTTTGTACTCTTAAAATGTTCCTGAAAACAAAACTATTCGGCAGAAATGCTGATAAATATCTCTTTTGTTATACTGTAAAAGGAAAATGCTCAAATTTAATTTTAAAGTACTATTCGAACAATTTTCTGACCGTGTACCAATTTGGGTAGTGTACCAATTGTGGTAGCGTGACGTTATATCTCAATCTAAAGAAATCAATGTTGATAGAGCTGTTAACAAGTTCCCATCATTTCCTTGTCATTTATTACTCCTTATTGTGAATTTGTCAAGGATATGATTAATATTGTCAGATTTCAGTTTTGTAGAAATTTCTTTGCAGGTGGTGAGTTTTAAGTAGTTAATATTCCACAAATATTTAAAACGTACTACATGAAATTAGATGTGGACTGTAAATCTTTCATTTAATCATTGTAAATATTTCCTTTTTGTCATGGTATAGGTCTCGGGACGGGAAACACAAGAAGGACCCTAATGCAGTGATGAAGCGGTTCCTGTTTGTTTTAATCATTGGACTAATTGGATTTGTAACTGTTGTTGTGATTTTCTCTAAACTTGGACGTAACGCTACAGACAATGACCCGTTCCTGGATCCCATGGCCAACCCTAACATAAGGGTCAATGAATTACCGAAAAATATAGATTAATCAGCAATTTTAACATTTTTAAATATAATATTATGATACATGTACTTGTGTTTAAAATCTCAATTATCCACATGTAAAATATGGCAATCGAGTAAAGATTTTGGATACTCCATTCACACTTACAATTTTATCTGGATTTTACTTGAAACACAACTCATCCAGAGTTGTTTGCCCTTTCTTTACAGCATTATGGAGTTCATGTCTAGATGCAAAACCATTGGCATTCACTGTTGTCTGGATTTGGTTATCAGTGTTTTATAAAAATGGAAATTCGCTAGAGTAAATCAGACATATACGGCTATCATGCCACTACTCTACTAAAAACATGCTTTATCACTCCTTTTAATCCTCAAATATTCATTCAATAAATAGAGGATCTGTCATTAATTTCCTTTCATATTAGATTTATGATATAAGTTTTGAATTTTTCATGTTTGCTTGCCTCTGGATGACAGATTCTTTTTATCATATAATACAAAGTAAACTGTATAATTGTGATCTGAAACGAATATATTGCACTTGGCCGCCTCTGAAACGATGAAAATTGCGTCCGCTTCACAATGACGTGACGTCACATTAGTTTAAACAGTATTTTATTCAATATATGGCAGTGACAAAATAAAACAAAATCAACAAAGAGGATTCGAAAACAAGGACATAAGTACTTAAAGTAATTCGTCTCCTTAACATTGGTTGTTCCTATTCGATGGTGACGTCATTTCTGGAGCCATATTACATATGTTACATAAATATAATTTATGTGATAGCTTTATGATACTGCATAACACGGTATTCATATGATAAAGATTACTATAATATCAACAGTATCTCTTAAATGTGGAAAATGTCATATATACAATCACTGACTTGACACAAATGTTTGTACCTGGTCTGAACTCTACAGGTAGTTACAGTGAGGTGATGAAAAGCATATTAAGGTGAATATAAGCACGGATCTAATCTAATTCCGTGATATAAGTTAATATTCTTTAGACTTCTCAGAAGGTTTTTGAATCATCAGCCTAGATTAATGTTCTTGCCTAAAAGACTAAAACTTACTACAAAAATATATTCTTTTTGTGTAATTTGTATCTTTATTTATATATTATTACTTTTTCTCCTAAAAACAGTATTTTTTTAACATACAACTACATTTTGTGTATTTGTCTATAATTTAAATGAATACTTTAGAGTTGTATTACATAGTAAAATGTTTTGTCTTGTGAGTACAGTGGACCAATGTTTTCATAGAATCACCCTGTCCTTTACAGTGTGATTTCAATTCCTCAAATAAAATAAAATATTCTTTTAGATCCCCAATAGAACATTGAATAGGAAAGTCAAGTGTATAAGTACTAAGTACTAAGTTTCCGAATTGTTGCTGATTATAAATTGAAAATATAATGTGTTGTATATTACCAGAAATAAATACAGTTTAAACTAAGAGTTTAATTTTTATCAAATTTCTGAACCCTGTCTTTAGAATTTATCTCTATATCAGTTGTTTTATTTTTCTGTTCATCTGCCTTGTGTGGAAGTGTTTGTGTTGTTGAGGATTATTATTGTTTGATGTACCTAAGTTTATTACAACACTATTGTTGTAAGTGGGAACAATCTTCATATTAGTCTCTTCTTTGTTATATTTACCTTTAATTCAGTAGAAGGTAGTCATTCTCCGTTGGTGATAACAGTAAAAAAAAACTGCAGATTATGTTGCGTTGAGAGACATCAGACATGATGATTCATTCTTCATTGTTGAGTTCTTACATGTACTGTAGAATTCCAGAATGTTATTTTTGAAAGCATAGCAATTCAACTGAAGGTCAGTGATGTGATATAATTTAAATGTACATATAATTCTGTCTTGTCTGTATCTTTAAGATTCCTGTATCAAGTTAGATATTAATATCGTCATATCTAACTCAATAATAACTGTCTGAATTACATCTGTTAATTATATATTTGCGAATTTTGAAAGCATACCTTTATGTTGTTGATGGATATTGGTGTTTATGAAGAAGCCATGAACTATGATATAATTAGACTTTTCGAAATTAAAATATCAGAATCAATATTCATCTAATTAGAGTTTTTATGAGGTTTTTTGTTGTACACATACGGAAGCCATCTTTGCGAACGTAGACCTATCTGATTGGACAATTTCCATCCAATCATTTTATAGATTTACCCGTACAGTTTAATTTTTTGTACGGGCGCCTGCAAACATGTACGTGTACGTGTAGCTACATGTTCACGTCCCCGTACACGTAAGGTTGCTCAACCTCTCTAATATAATATGGTATGCATATAAATGTCTACTTTATCAACAATATTTCCCAAGCAGGAGGATACGTCACAACCTCTTCTGATATTTTCGTGTTCAATAATAAATGCTAAACATTATTTATCATTCTATTTATCAACATCATTTATGATAGAAAATGTTTTCTGAATATATTTATATGTAAATTAATTTTGAATAACAAATTCACGTGAGAAAACACATTAAAGATATTACATTTCATAAGGAAAATATATGTTTAGAATATCGGTTAACCCTTTCACCACTGTAGACCAAAATGGACTCATCCAGATCAATGCATGGTAGAGTCTACTAAAGTAACATAGGGGTGAATTGGTTAATGTGGGAAACACATGTAACAAATTAGGATCAACAAAGCCACCAGTTAATGTGGAAAATTACTGAATTATTTAATGTATTTACAAATCATTCTTTTTATTGTGGGAAATGTGTGTTTACTAAGCATATTGTATAATGTGTAAAACTAGTATTTTCAAAACACAAAATGGGAAATTTCATGTTTCCACTGCATCCTTTATAATACAGTTTATTAGGGAGACATGTTAAATATCAATTATAGTAAGAAATATATAATACAACATTTAATGTGGGAAACTTGTTTTAAATTATTTAATGTGGGAAATATATTTAAAATGCATAATTGAATGTTGGAAACTTGTTTACAAAGCAGTTATTTATGAAAATGAGTGTGAAACATTTAATGTGGAAATTCATGTTTACAAATTAAAGCATCCTTAAAATGTAAATTTCAAATTTCCAAACATCATAGCAATTATACTGTTTATAAAAAGGAAATTTGTGTGTACAAAGCATGAGTTAACAGGATAATCAAGAGATATAACAAATTGCTTGTGAATTTGTAAACTCATAAAATATTGTATCCACAATTCGTTTTTGACTTTTTAATCTTTATTTGAATTGCATATTTAATATGCACATGTATACATGACTTGTTACACTTGGCTAGATATGTCTTACACATTTCTCATACAATTACTCATACTGCTTAAATGGATATGAAATAAACAAAATGTAAGATATAAATAAATAAACAAAATCATACAAAATATCTCATATGTCATATCTTGTAGTAATTTGTTCAGGTGATAAGTTATTTATTTAATAAGATATCTCATATAACTTACTTTTCACTATAAAGGCATACTCTAAGTTTTTTATTTATCTTTTATTATCATTAAAATTAGAAACTTCTAAATTATTCTAATGTTGTATAAATTGAATATGTATACCTTTCTGTTTACATAAGTGTGCTGTTGGTAAAACACAAAAACTCAGGACTTAGTATTTATAGAATTGATATGTCCATGGCTCATTGTGTACGTAGGTGTTTCATAAAAGGGCGTTCAGCCATTCAGTCATGTTCCTATAATTATGAAGATACATTGTATGACCTTGGACTGGATACATTGTATGACCTTGGACTGGATACATTGTATGACCTTGGACTCCCTCCTGTGACTTTGGAAACACAAACACAACAGTGGTTGTGCATAGACATGTCACTTTCCCTTTGATCTAGCTATGGTATAAAACCAACTTATTTTACACAGTTTTACTAATACCATATGGTATTAGTGAAGCTCCTCCCCTATACTGAATACAATAGAATTCTCCATTCTCATTGGTCAGTCAATAAAAGTGTACAGTGGCCAATTAGTGAATGTTAATAGGATATCGACACCGTGGGAAATAAATACAAATACAAATACAGGAAGTTCAAACACATTTTATTAAGCAACATTGTTGCAAACAATTCAACAAATTTCGCCTTTACAGACAGGTTCCACGGTCCATCTTTTTCCCGTTTTGTAAGTTAAAGTCTTAGCATAAACTGGTACCAGTCGGTCTTGTAATTAAAAGACACGTGGCAATTGTGAAACACATTTCTGGACATATTAGAAATACAGCAAATGGAACATGGTCCTTTTCTGTAGGCATGTTAATATTCACATTAGTAGGCTTAGTATCTGAGTTACCATTTTTACATGTAGCGCCCTCAATTTTTACCTTTTTATCCTTCGGAGGGTCCAATAATTTGCTCACTTCTAACAGCGGTGCAGCACACAGTCTCTTGAAGTTTGAACTGCTGTGCTCCTGTGACCAGTTCGGGACATTATCAACTGTTAAAATTGTTACGTGTCACTTTATGCGACAAGTCGGTTACATCATAGGCTTCGCAATATGTCAGTTATCGTACTCGAGGGGCGGAGCTTACATCTCTCGCGCTACGCGCTCGAGAAGTAGCTCGGCCCCTCTCGTACAATAACTAACATATTGCTCGGTTCCTATGATATAACCAATACTAGGCAACACTGTCTAATCATGATATATCCAAATATGGAGTTTCGTCAGTTAGAGAAGTTATAACATTTCATAAAATCATGTTGTAGTTTTTGGTAGACAAGGATAACCATGAAATGTGACATCATGCTATGACCTTGGTGTTACAGGGGTGACTAGCTGTGTTGTGTGACCACGGAATCAGATAGCTATTCTAATTCCGTGGTGTTACATGGATGATTAGCTGTGTTGTGTGACCACGGACTCAGATAGCTAATCTCATTCCGTGGTGTTACCAGGATGACTAGCTGTGTTGTGTGACCACGGACTCAGATAGCTAATCTAAATCCGTGGCGTTACAGGGATGACTAGCTGTGGTGTGTGACCATGGACTCAGATAGCTAATATAATTCCGTGGTGTTACAGGGATGACTAGCTGTGTTGTGTCACCACGGAATTAGACTCAGATAGCTAATCTAATTCCGTGGTGTTACGGGGATGATTAGATGTGTTGTGTCACCACGGACTCAGATAGCTATTCTAATTCCGTGGTGTTACATGGATGATTAGCTGTGTTGTGTGACCACGGGCTCAGATAGCTAATCTAATTCCGTGGTGTTACGGGGATGACTAGCTGTGTTGTGTGACCACAGAATCAGATAGCTAATCTAATTCCGTGGTGTTACGGGGATGATTAGATGTGTTGTGTCACCACGGACTCAGATAGCTATTCTAATTCCGTGGTGTTACATGGATGATTAGCTGTGTTGTGTGACCAAGGACTCAGATAGCTAATCTAATTCCGTGGTGTTACGAGG